GCCGTTGGGGACCACAGGTAATGCTCAGACCTTCACCATACTGACAGGCAGGAAGCCTTCCAGAATGTCTGAAAGATGACAGAAAATTGAACATGATGGTGTTTGAATTCAACTTGGACATGGTCTTAAAAACCAGAGTGCAGTTTTCAAAGTAATTTAAACAAATAAAAGGCAACTTTTTAAAATGCTGTTAGATCACTGCTGAATTTAGGATGAATCAAGTCCCCCCCCACCCCCCACAAGTGAAACCTGCTGTAGGAGTAGAGGAAAGGTGGCGTGCGTGCGTCTGGACGCCGCGCCCTCCCTAGCTGACTGTCTAGATGGACGCCCCCACCTGATCCATCCACCTTTATAATTTGGGATCTGTTTTTCTAGGGCAGTTTGCGGTTTACAGATAAATTGAGGAGAAAGTACAGAGGATTCCCATATAGTCCCCTTCTCTCTGTCAGTTCCCCTTCACATCTTGCATTAGCGTGGTCTGTTTGTTGCAACTGATGAGCCACAGTGCACAGCAACACAGCAGGGCTCACTCTCGGTGGTGTGCATTCTGTGAGTTTTGACCGGCGCACAGTGACACGCATCCAGCACGACAGTGTCGCACAGAGCAGTTTCACGGCCTTAAAAATCCCCTGTGGCCCACCTGTTCAACCCTCCCTGTACCACCCTGGAGCCCCCCTGGCCACCCCCGACCTTTGTACTGTCCCCATGCTTTGGCCTTTTCCAGAAGGTTGTGTGGCTGGGATCAGCCAGTAGGCAGCCTTTTCAGATGGGCTTCTCTCACTGAGCAATACGTGCTCAGGGTTCCCCAGGCCTTTCTGTGGTTTGATAGGTCATTTCTTTGTAGTGTTGAATGACGTTCTCTAGTCCGGAGCTGCCACAGTTTACCTACTCCTCTGTCAAAGGACTCCTTAGTTGCTTCTGAGGTTTGGCATTTATGAGTAAAGCTGCTGTGAACATTTGTATGTTGCTTTTTGTGCAGACAGAAGTTTTCTTCTTTTTTGTCTGAGACAGGATCTCGCTCTGTTGCCCAGAAAAGAGAACAGTGGCATCATCACAGCTCAATGCAACCTCAGACTTCTGGGATTAAGTGATCCTCCTGCATCAGCCTCCCAAGCAGTGGGGACTGTAGGCACATATCACCATGCCCAGCTAATTTTTCTGTTTTTTGTGTGTGTAGAGATGGGGCCTTGCTTGTGCTCAGGCTGGCCTCAGACTCCTGGCCTCAAGCGATACTCCTGCCTTGGCCTCCCAAAGTGCTGGGATTACAGGTGTGCCACAACTCCTGGCTGTGGACATGAGTTTTCATCTCATTTGGGTAAATACTGAGGAGTGTGACTGCTGGATTGTGTCACATGTGACTTGACTGAGAGTGACTTGCAAAGATTTGTCTTTGGTAAGTGGCTTTGAACAGGAACAATTTTTAAATTAAGGTGTAGTGTCTATCAAGTAAAGCTCACTTGTCACAGTGCACGGTCCCATGAATCTCACACACGTGTGCATGCAAGATCAAGATCCGGGGCAACCCCAGCACCCAGAAGGCTCCCCTGGGCCCCTGCCCGGCACCACCCGCCTCACCACCCCCAGAGGCAACACGGTCCTGACTTCCAGCACCATCCTTTGGTTCTGCCGGGCAGGCGGCAACCACCCTGCAGCTTTTGAAAGTAGATTTTTGGGGGGATGAGAGCAGGTAGGGGGAGTTTGTTTCATTTGGGTTTGTTTCGAGTGACTGGTGCCTAATTTCGTCACCGGATCTTTCTTGCGCGTCTGGAGCGGGAGTGGGCACGCGCTCTGGGTAAATATTTTCGGCTTTGCAGGCCAGCGAGTGGGTGGGTGTGGCCGTGCCCCACCGAAGCTTTATTCACAGAAGCAGGCCGTGGGCCGGGTTTGGCCCTTGGGTTGCAGTTTGCTGGGCCGGGTACAGAGCCTCGCTTTTCCTTTGTGCGGTCCCTGTCCGGGCCCCACCCCAGTCTGTGATCCTGGTGTCCCGTGCACGGCGTAAGACGTCCCCAGGTGACTTTCATGCGTGTTGCAGGCTGAGAGCTCACTGCGTGTCCCTCCAGGGAGGACGGCAGTGGGCGTTCTGGGGTCCAGAACTGTGCAAATGGATACACAGAGGAGAGCCGAGCAAAAGCCCACTAGGAGTCTCCCCATCTTGACACTTCCAGTAATTTCGTTTACCCCTTTCAATATCGTGTCATTTTCTCTCCTTGAGGTGACAGGCTCTGCCTGGCTGGCGTGGGGGCGGGCGTTGGACACTGAGCAGAGAACGCCACCTGTTAAAGTGGGGCATGATGCAGGTCCATTCTGGGGAATACAGGGGGGTTCAGGAATCTTGGGGGATCCCCGCACGATGAAAAGAAGGCCCCTCGGGAGTGAAAGAGAGAAAGTTGTGGTCGTAGGGGGAATTTTACAGTTTGGCTCTTAGTGGTGGAACCGCTTGGCGCCGCGCTGAGGGCTGAGATGGTGACAGCTGTTGCCCACGACCGAGCATGTTGCGTGTTTCTGGCACTTCACATGTGCCACCTTCACGCTGTCTTCTCAGCGTCCTAGCAAGTGGTTTTTGGCATTCCCATTTTGCAGAAGAGGAGACTGAGGCGTTGCAGGGTTATGTAGCTTAGGGAAGGCCATGGAGCTACTCAGAGCTTGGAGCCTGGACCCTGGTGGCCCAGCACCCAAGCTCACGAAGCTCGTGGCCGTGACCGTTGTGCTGTCTGCCTCTCAAGGGGCGACCTCCGGGGTGGGGGTGGGGTTCGGAAGCCAGTGGTGCTGAGAAGTGAAGGTGCTGGTGGCACACGTGTGTGCTCTGCACTGCCAAGGTGGCTGGTGGACAGTGGACCCCATGGTGGGGAAGAGTAAATGGGCTTGAGCCACGGCCTTCAAAACTCTCAAAAGTAGAAAACTGCTCTGAGGCCACGGTAGTATGAGCCGGGGCACAGGCCGGCCAACTCCAGATGTGGACCAGGTGGGGGCTTGGAAGGAGCCGAGGGCAACCTGCGTGAGACAGGACTGAGGCAACATTTTCAAGCGAGACAGGCATCCTGTCCACTTGCTTTGGGCTTTGTTTGAATAATAGTAACACCTTCCGTTCAGTCAGTCAGGACTCAGCTAAGTGGAAGCGTCCAATAATTGGAATTTTTTTCTGCATTTTGGGAAAACCAGACAAAAACAGAAAAGAAGTAGGTGGGCAGGGGATTTATTTGAACACATTCACTTCCAGGTTTTACCTGGATCAGTGCACACTTGCATCATGCTCTGACCTCTTTTAAAAGCTATATATATATATTTTTTTTTTCCCATCAATGTCGTTCTACAAAGAGGACAGATGTTTCCATTGATCCTAACTGAACTGATTACAAGATTCAACACAACAAATGTATCTGCCAGGAATCTAGAACGCCAGGTGCTATTGGGGCTACAAAAAGTATCTTAAACAGGGGCTGAGCCCTTGAAGAACTTTTAGTCGTTGTAATAATATTCACTTGCCTTCAGGGGCAAGGTGCAAAATTGTATTCAGACAGTTGACAAATTCTCAATGTGGTTTAAGGGGAAAAAGGTATGAGACTCCCAAGAGTCTTATCTTCTGGAACATGCTGGGCCATTTTGAAGTTCTGCATGACCACGTCTGATTATTAAATGCTGGGTGCACTTTCTGGGCTGGTTTTCACCCAGGCCACCAGGAGGCCTCTCGTCTGAAACACATAGGTGAGAGCTGTTCTGGTGAAAACTCTTCCTTGGGAACACCAGGAGTACATGCAAAAGTCACTATAGATCCCGCTTCTGAATCTTTGCTAATGTTCCCTTGGGTGTCAGAAACCCTGCCATTTTATAGGCGCCTAGGGTTTGCTTACTCGGACCCTGTTTCTTCTTGGGGAGAATGCACACGATCTTTCTCTGGCAGCTCTGCCCTAGGCCTCTCTAGCCACCCCATCCTGCCTCTCACTTGAAGCTCATGATATTTTGGAACTCTAATCCAGAGGTTGCAAGCTGCTAGCGTGCAGGCCAGTGAGAAACATAGCCTGTGATGTTTTATTAAAACAAGTAGTTGCCATCATTTAAAAATCAAGATTTCCCATTGCAAGTCTGGATTTCTGGCTTCTTGTGAGGATCTCGGCTCCGGCAGTGCTGGGTCTGGTTTGCACAGTTGCCTGGTCTGACAAAAGTCGCCCCCACTCCTTCCTGCTCCTCCCCAGCACTGAGCTGCTGTTTGCACTGCCGTCCACCGCAGGGCTGACGCTGTTGTTTTCTTGATTGTAGTTGAGTATTGTTCTCTCTTCGTGTGCACTATCAAAACTGGGGGACCACAGACAGAAACAGAAAGCCCTGAGTGTCTTCTGTCTGGCCTACCTCACCCCCTGCCTGACCGCTGTAAGCATTTATCTGCTCTAGATAATTCAGTGACCCTTTAAATGAAAAGGGTCCAAGCTCTTCTTTCAGACTCACTACAAAATGCAAGAAAGCACCTGGTGTAGGATAAGCACGTTCCCCCTGGCGGGCTGTCTTCTTTCTGACCAGGTCTGTGTCTAAAGGCGCAGTGAACAAGAGCCGTCTTGCCCCAGGTTAGATGTCAACATCCAAGTGCACCATCGATTCACCCGTCACTGTCATTTCCCTCTGTCCAGGAACACCCGTTCCCCGATGACACGAGACGGCTGCCCCGTGGGCTGCGCGTGAGCTCGGCGCTCAGAGACTAGCGGGAAAACCCAACCTTTACCTTTGGGGAACTGCTCCTTGTCGCTGCTCAGAGGGAAGGCAGCAATCACCGTCACATTCACTTCAAATGTGACTGTGTTTCAAGTAGGGCGCATGATATTAGGAGCCGAGTTAAGGGGAAAGTACTGGATTCTTCGAGGGGGAGAAAAAAAGGTTTCAGCCTAAAATGCACGGGGACAACATCCCATTGAGCAATGCTGACAGCGCCGGGCAGGTCTGAGAGGCGGGCTGTGGGCAGCAACTGTCCTCTTAGCGCTCGGAGTGAGGGCACCATCTGGGCTCTTTCCTAGGCACCCCCTGGCCACCTTTTTCCACCTGTTTTTCCGAGTGAGCGCCATCGTCACCTACGTGTGCTGCGACTGGTTCAGCAGGAGCTTTGTGGGCTGCTTTGTCACTGTGCTTCTCCTGCTGTCCTTGGACTTCTGGTCTGTGAAGGTGAGGCCCTCGCCCGTGATGTCGCCACTCCCGAGACGCTTGCTTCCGGAGGGGGATGTCCCCACTGAGTGTGGGACCAAGAGGTGCTTTGGTTCCGAATGCTGAGGCATGCTTTAAGTATGCCAAGCCAGTGTCACTTAAAGTTTGGTGTTTAATAAGTGGCTTTCAGGTGTCAACTGCCACGACTGCACGCGCGTATATGATGAAGGCGACAACCCCATGTGGGTTTGGATTTTTTGGTAAAATTTACGTATATATATAATATATTGAAAACATAACATGAATATAAAAATGCATGTATCTGGGGGGGAGAAGTGTGTGTCACATTGTAAAGTAAGCTTATTTAAAATGCCTCAGAATCTAATTGGAGACACCACTGCAGCTCAAGGCTCTTTTCTTCCTGCCCCAGTACAAGTGTGACAGGAACTGGTGACTTTTACTTCAATTGTCAACACGGTGGTGGCGACTCTTTGCCTAGGGCCCGCCTGTAGTCACTCTGTCCGTTGTCCCTAGAACGTGACGGGCAGACTCATGGTGGGCCTCCGCTGGTGGAACCAGATAGACGAGGACGGGAAGAGCCACTGGGTGTTCGAAGCCAGGAAGGTATTCTCCTCTCGAGCCCCGTGCACGGCTGATTTCCGCCCAGACCCCTGCTCCTGCAGCTCCGCTGAGACGCGCATAGCGAAAGCGGGTGCCAGGCAGGGGACAGCGGGAGCGTGCTCGCGTGCGGCCGTTCCTGCTCGTTTTGAAAATGCAATCGCTTTCCCGCGACAGGTCTCTCCAAACGCCATGGCGGCCACGGAGGCGGAAGCCCGCATCTTCTGGCTCGGCCTCATCATCTGCCCCGTGATCTGGATCGTCTTCTTCTTCAGCACCCTGTTCTCCCTGAAGCTGAAGTGGCTGGTGAGGCGGCGGCGCCTGCTCGCGGACGCTGCTTTCCCATCTCTGCGCGGCCAGCGGCTGCGGGGAGGGCCTGGGTCGCTGTTTGTTGCTGATGGATGGGTCAGTTGTAACGGCTGTGTCCAGATATAATTGGCGTCCCTTAGGATCCGTCCGTTGAGTGTGTACGATTCAGTGGCTTCTCGTGTAGTCACGGAGGTGTGTGGCCTTCGCCACAGGCAATTGTGGGGTATTTTCATCACCCGTAAAAGAAAGGCTGTACCCTTTAGCTGTCATCCCTGCACCTGTTCCCCCACCCCCAACGCCTGGCACCCAGTACTCTTTCTGGCTCTACAGATATAAGTGGGATCACGTCCCGTGTGGGCTCTGCGACCGGCTTCTCTCGCTGAGCACGTTTCGAGGTGCATCCGTGCTGGGGCACGAATCAGCCCTCACTGCTTTTCACTACGGCTGAGTAATGTCCATTCTGTGAAGAGGCCACGCTGCATTCATCCATTTGTCAGCTGATGGCCATTTGGTTGTTTCTGCCTTTTGGCTTTTAGCAGTAATGCTGATAAGAAAGGAGTTTTTCTAAAAAAAAGAATATGACATTCTACCTTGGACAGGAAGCTCCCCTAGGTAGGAATAAGTGAGCCTCTGAGGTCTGAAATTTTATTCCGGAGGTATCACAATTCATCGCCCTGCTCCAGCCCATTCAGTGAGAACACAGAATACCCGTAGAGAGTAAAACGACACTGTGGTTAGGAGCGAGGGCGCTGGAGCTTGGATCCTGGTCGAGCACACTCCAGCTCTGTGACCTGGCGCAGCTTTCGTTTTTCTGCGCTTGGATTTCCTCCCTGTAACACGGGATGACGATGGCAGCAGGCTCTTGGGTGGCTGATGGCTCGGCGGCGTCCACAAGCATTTCTAAGTGCTCGGGAGAGGTCGGCTGTTACCGTCGTTAGGCGTAGGCCAGAGCCGGTCTCTCGGTTTGGGAGGAACATTTCTGTGAACGCTCTTGAAAGTGACCTTGCTCTGTCTGCACGCAGGCTCTCGTGATCGCTGGGATTTCTCTCCAAGCTGCGAACCTGTATGGCTACATCCTCTGTAAGATGGGAGGAGAGAGTGACCTCAGCAAAGTCACGGCCAGTTTTCTGTCCCAGACGGTATTCCAGACGGTGAGTCGCTGAGGTCCAACTCTTGGGCCTCTCCCCTCCAGGTGCTCAAAGTACAGGGGGCCTGTTGGCAACTGCAGTTTGCAGTGTCTTACATTGCAGGCTGCCATGGTTTTGTTCTTGTAATTGTAGTGAAAGACATATAAAGTTTACCATTTTAAAGTATACAGTTCAGTAGCATTAAGTACATTCACATTGTCATGCAACCATCACCACCATCCGTCTTCCCAAACTGAAGCTCAGTACCCATTAAACATTAACTCCCTGTTTTCTCCTCGCCCGGCCTCTGGCAACCTCCGTTCTATTAGGTCCCTAAATATGAAGTGTCTGACTTCCAACCAGGTGGTTAGTTTATTATGTCTCAAACAAGAAACAGTACAGTTAGTCAAAGGATGCACCTGAACTATAGACACAGTTCTGCTATCTTACCGGTGGCTTGTCTATGCCAGCAGCGAAGAAGCCTGGAGAGCGAGTGGTGATGAAATCACAAAAGGTGTCTTCCACGGCTTGTTGAGAGTGGAATATTCTTTCTTGCAATAAGTGGTCCAAAGCCTGGAAGAAGTGGAAGTCACTTGGTGCAAGGTCTGGGTGAACACGGTGGATGATAGAGAGTTTCCAAGTCCAGCCTCTACAGTTTGCGCAGCGTTGTTTTCTACGACATGTGGTCTTGCAAGAGGACTGGCCTGTCTCTACTGACCAATCTTGGCTACTTAATCACAAGCATCATCATCATTTCATCCAGTTGGTTGCAGTAGACATCTGCTGTCATGGGCTGACCAGGTTTCATGAAGCTGTAGTGGATAATACCAGCGCTGGACCACCAAACAGACACCATTGGATTTTTTTTTAATGAATATTCAGTTTTGGACTGTGTTTCGGCACTTCATCTTTATCCAACCACTGTGCTGAATGCTTGCGATTGGCAAAAAGAAGCCGTTTTTCATCACATGTAACAACACAAAATGGTTTGCCTTTATGTCGTGACAGCAAAGAAAGGCAAGCTTTGAGACTATTTCTCTTCCGACACTCGTTTAATTCATGCGGAACCCATCTATCCAGCTTCTTTACCTTGCCCATTTGTTTCAAATGGTCCCATATTGTTGGAACAGTAATGTCAAACCTTGCTGCTAATTCACACATAGGTTGAGATAGATTCGCGTCCACTACAGCTTTCAGCTCATCATTATCCACCTTGGTCTCAGGTCTCTCACATGGCTCATTTTCAAGATTAAAATCATCAGAATGGAACTTCTCAAACTATTGACATACTGTGTGTTCATTAGCCTCATCCTTCTTAAACTCTTTGTTGATATTTTTAGCTATCTGCTCTGCATTGGTTCCACAATGAAACTCATATTCAAAACTAACACAAATTTTTGACTTATCTGTGGTTTCACAAAAATTGCTCTTAAAAAAAAAAAAAAAACCGAAAGATAATCACAAGCCAAACTATGCATTTGAAAAAATGAGGATATACCCTCACAATAAACAAACAAAAAAAAACCCCACAGAAGCGTCAAAGTGAAATGTCAGAGATATCAACTGTCAAACTTAGTACTTAAGGAAATCAGACATTCCATACTTAATAACCTAATACTTTGTTTCTGTGGGTTTTACTCTAGGAACCTCCTATAAGTGCAGACAGTATTTGTCCTTTTGTGACTGCCATTGTTAGTTTTGCGTGATTTTCTTTTAAGGCTATAGCGTTAAGGAAATAATCAAAGTGCTTTTTTTTTTTTAAAACGTAGCAGCTATTTCTAGAAGTGAGAACTAGATGACTTTTAAATTTGACCAGGCTCATGCTGAAATGACCTTAAATTTGAACAGTGCTGCTTTATGCAACACTGCAACATCAAGCGGCCAGGTCTGCAGGTTCTCTGTGCACGCTGTGGGTTTCCTCTGGCCTCAAGTCAGCAGGGTCAGCCCACTTGCGCGTAAGGTCAGAAAAGCCACAGGTGACTTTTCCCCTTGCAGGTTTGCCCAGGTGACTTCCAGAAGCCTGGCCTTGAAGAGATGCACCAGCGTTAGGTGAGTCTGGAGGGAAAGTGCAGCTCTCAGAGCACAGCGGGCTGAGGTCTGGGTGGGCTTTGCCCGTCCCCTGAGGTGGACAGGTACCCAGCCAGGCAGGAACCAGACTGGGGCCTGGGGCTGGCCTGGAGCTTTGCAACCTAATGGCTCTCTAGAGGGGACCCACCTTCCTCACATGCAGGGGCAGAAGCAGGGGGATCTGCCCGCCCTTCCACCTTTATGCCCCAGAGTGGATGGAAAGCGGGAGTTTACTCTCCTCTAAACTAGTCTCAGTCCTATGTTTCTCAAACACAGAGTGAGCATCTCATGGCCATGAGGATGATTCTAGAGTTCATATCTTTTTATTTATTTATTCATTTATTGAGACAGAGTCTCGCTTTGTTGCCCAGGCTAGAGTGAGTGCTGTGGCGTCAGCCTAGCTCACAGCAACCTCAAACTCCTGGGCTCAAGCGATCCTCCTGCCTCAGCCTCCCAGGTAGTTGGGATTAGAGGCATGCGCCACCATGCCCGTCTGATTTTTTCTATATATATTAGTTGGTCAATTAATTTCTCTTTATTTATAGTAGAGATGGGGTCTTGCTCTTGCTCAGGCTGGTTTTGAACTCCAGACCTCGAGCAATCTGCCCTCCTTGGCCTCCCAGAGTGCTAGGATTATAGGCATAAGCCACCGTGCCCAGCCTATATCTTTTTATGTAATTAAAAAAACCTGAAAACTGTTCTGTAGAAGACACTGGAAATTACTGGAATATACTGTGCACATATTACTGTACCGGGTTTATACGCAGACCACAGATTGTCTTAGGTGGGTGAATTAAGGGCTTTTCAAGGGTTTTTTTCTTTACTATAGCCAGCTGTAGCATGTGCACTGATCTCAGAACACACCCAGCAGGCTCTGTCACTGTTTTGACTTCATGCGTAGGACTGGCGGGACTGTGCCATTTGAACGCATGACTGTGTGTTCTGCAGGGAAGCCACACATTCATTCCTTTGGTTCTTTTCTTAGGCAGAAATGACTTAAAATGGGACTTTTTACTACCGAAAGAGCTTCCAACAGAGCAGAATCCCACGGTCCTGCAGCTGTTTATTTCTACGTGAAACAAGCCTTGGAGGGAAGGTTCGAGGAGGCGTTTTTATTTTTAAAATGGCACGTTTGTTTAAAAAAAAAAAAAATGCCCTTTACATATGTTCTAAGGAAAAGTGTACAAACGTTAGATGATTAAAGTGTCTCTGAGAAAGTGACTTCAGCGTCTGGTCCCTTGCTGCCTGCGACCCCTACCTGTCCCCGAGGTGGCCAGGCCTGCCTGTGCGTGCTGCCACCCTCCTTGGCTTGGGAACTGCTGGGGCTCCCAGCACCCTCTTGTCTCAGGAACTGATGAGGTTCTCTTCTTTTGACTGACGGAGGTTACAAAACTCTTGGATTCCTGGAAAACAAGACGAGAGGCACAGAGCACTGGTGGCTTGTCCACCCCGGGGCAGCCCTGCCATGGGCTGAGGTCGGCTGCATCTTAACTGGGCTGGGATCTCCTGATGGCCCAGTTCCGTAAAATGCCCTGTTTCTGTGATGCCCTGAATGTTTCAAAGTGACCCAGATACCTCCCCTGCCCACCGTGGTCACCACCAATGGCTGGAGGCCTAACGTCAGCCCCGTCTGTAGATGGAGGATTTGGGGAATGCTGTTACTTCCCCTTAACTCCACATTTCTCGGCAAATAAAAACCCAGACACACACTAAGAGGCTGAAGCTTTAACTACAGACACCTCTGCCTTAAATTCCAGGTCCCCGTGGCTGCCTGTCAGCTGAATCTGGCCTGCGCGTGGGTTTGGTTTGGCTCATCGTGGTTTGTTTCTGTTTTTTAAATCAATTTTTTAATAACGTTATTGAGATATATTTCTGATGCCATAAATTTCACCCTCGCCATGTTTTTCAAACTGTGAATTAGTTCACAACACTGACACGAGGGGCGACTGCTCTCAGACCCCTGGCTTCGTGGCAGGCCCCACCACCCGGCTATCCCCACCCGAGGCTGGAGGCAGTGGCCATTCCCGACTCTAAACGGAAGACCGTCCTGCCCACTTCGCTCCTTTCGGTTCCTTCCCAGCCCCGCAGGCGTCTGCGCTCGCTGACTCGCGCTCACACTTACTCTGAATTATGCTTCTGTAGGCGGCGGTGGCCGGTGAGTCTGGGGCTTCAGCCAGGAAGGACTGGCCTTTGTCACAGCTCTTCCCTTAGAGAGACAAATGAAAGACAGTTCGGTCCCTGAGGACAGCACCGTCTGAGCAGGGGACGGTCTTCAGATCCCGAGGAGCCTCACTCACGAGGAGGAACACAGCTGGGGGAGACACCGGTCCCTGGGACCCCGGTGCGCCCTCTCCCGGCAGGCGCCCGGCTACACTGCGGCTGGATCCTTGGTGCTGTGCGGGAAATGCAGGTTCCCGGGCCCTGCACAGGACAGATTCCGAAGCTTCGGTGGGGCCAGGAGTCTACATTTTAGGAGGTTAACTAGTTCTTTGAGTGCAAAGATAATAAATGCACACTATTAAAGAAAAAGTATGGATACAGAAGGCTGCCCGCAAAGAGCAAAGCCACAAAGGGCTACCAGCGTTTTAGGTGTCTTTGCAGAAATACTGCGTGCGCGCACACACTTAAAATGCGAATGGGAACATACGATACACATGCTCTGCCTTTTGCTTTTTCCATGTGTCATTTTACCTACTAGGCCATCCCCACAGGCATCAGCTGGCCTGCGGGTCCTCACTGGCCACGTACAAACGTTACATGATTAACGCGCTAGCCGTCCCACGCACACGGCTGTCCTAGGGCCACTGCCACCCCAGTGCAGGTGGACGTGACGCAGGGGCCTTAGGCTATTCTCAGCGGTTTTCTCACCTCCTGTCTGCTCTGCCGGCCCCCAGTGGCTGGCTCCATCCGACCCCAGGCCTCGAGCACTGTCCACAGCTGCTCGCCCACCTTGCGTGGACCCCAGGAGGTCCACCTGTCCCGGCCACTCCCTCAACTCCCCTGTCGTGTTGCCCGTGGGACGGGAAGCTGAGAGGGAAGGAGCCTGTGGCCACCCTTCCTCTGGGCTCGCTTGCTCCCACGGCCACCTGCCTGCATGGCCCACGGCATCTCTCCCGTGACCTGTCATGCACTGGCGGGAGGTGGGGATCTGGCTGCAATGCCCCATCGTCCCTCTGTGCCCAGTCCTCGTGGTGCCCTGGGGGCTGGTCAGGGAGCGAAGGCCCCGCTCAGCAACGAGGAGGGGAGGTGTCACCCACCTATGTGTGGGTCCAGGGGCACTCTGCCCAGGAGCGGCAACTTCAGGTCCTGGCACATGGCTGCTGCGCCGCCCGTCGTGGGAGGGAATATCTGAGATTCCTTCTGCGAGACAAAAGGGGGGGCAGTGAGAGAGTCTGTCGCGGAATCGCAAGGACGGCCCACATGTTAAAGCAGAGGTGCCCAACCTACCGTGAGTTGTATAATTACTTCATTATGTATTATAATGTAATAATAGAAATAAAGTGCACAGCAAACATAACACACTTGAATCATGCCGAAACCATCCCCCTCTTCCCCAGTCCCGGGAAGAATTGTCTACCGTGAAAATGGTCCCTGGTGCCAAAAAGGCTGGGGACCGCTGTCTTAAGGAACCTAAAAAAAACAAGTCTCATTCTGAACGTAAAACAGTAAACACCAAAAGCATTTTCCTGCAGTCAGCAATAGAGGATTGTATTGCGATTCCACTTCCTGAAACGCCAGGGAAAGCAGAAACAGTCGTGCAGAGGACTTTTCCTATTGTTTCCTCAGCCACTAACTCGGGCAGTCCTGTTAGCCCGACCCGCGGCCGACGACGAGCTGTCACCTTGCAGTTGGGACAGATGAAGCCGCTCATGTTCTCCACCACCCCGATGACGGGCAGCTTCACCTTGCGGCAGAAGCTGATTTCTTTCCGCACGTCCTGCAGCGACACCTCCTGTCAAGGCCAGGAGAGACCAGTTATTCCGGAGTCAGAGCATAAGAAACGGACGTCTGTGTGGCCCATGGGTGGCCGCAGTGTGGAGGACAGCTCTCCACGCCTCCCGCAGAAGGGCGGCCCCGGCTTGGTCCCCAGCCTTGAACCCCAGGGCGACTCCAGTCTTTCTCTCAATAAGCGTGGAGACGCCATTGTTGTGCCAATTAGATTGTTGTTGGTGGTGGTGATGGTGGTATTTTTTAGTAGATTTCACTTTTTAGAGGAGTCTTAAGTTGGCAGCCACACTGAGCAGCAGGTGCAGGGCTCCCATGTGCCCCAGAGCCCCCACTGCCCACCAGCTTATCCTGAGGCCCCGTCTGCACCCAGGCTGGTTCTGCTGAAACTGGGGAGACTTCCTAACCCTTCTGAGACGTGAGTGGGAAAGCACGGCAGGCTGGGGGACTTGACACACAAGCACGGCAGAGACGGTATCACCATGCAGGGCGACCTGAATTGTAATAGCGCCAGTTATTTTCCTTGTTTTTTGGAGGGAAAGTTTAAAAGGCATTTGACCCAATATTGTTTAATCTGTGGATGACCAGAAAAAAAAAAAATTGTCAACTGCAAATGCCTGGACCGAAGTTTTAACAGGAGGTTTCTGCGGGCCGGAGGTGGTGGACTGTGCCACACACACCCCGCAGGGCCACGTGAGACCTGGCTCTCAGAGCCACACTGAAAGACGCCTGGCGCAGAGCACACGGGACCAGGGGCCAGCTCCGCCAGGGGAGTCGCTCACCTGGGGCGTGGTGACGATCACGGCTCCGTCAACGCGAGCCGCGGCCAGGTACTGGACGACCGAGAGGTGCTCGTCCGACGTCCCCGGCGGGGTGTCCACGACGAGGTAGTCCACCTCTCCCCAGTCCACGTCCCGGAGGAACTGCTTGATCATGCCTAGAAAGAGGGATCCGAGGGTGACGCCTGCTCTTCCTCCCTTTTCTGTACCCGACTCCCTTCGCAGAGGCAGTTTGTGATCTTTATGTGCGTTTGGTTTATGCGCTAAATCGGTGGTTCTCAGTGGGGGGCGATATCGCCACCTCCAGAGACGTTCTGGGTTGTGACGGCCAGGCGAGGGCGTGCTCCTGGCATCTAGCGGGCAGGGGTGCTGTGACGCCCCACCACGCAGGGCGCAGGCCATGCCCTCCCCAGCAGAGGCTTGTCTGGCCCGAACGTCCACGCTGCGGGACTGAGGAAGCTGCCCTCGGGGACACGTTCAGGGCAGGACCTTCGGTCTCAGGACCAGGCCAGGCTGGCACTGATCTCTCTGCACACCAATAACCACTACAAATCCACAGTCAAAATAACTTCAGGGTCCTATAACTTTTAAGGAGAGAAAGCCTCACAGCAGATATCCAAAATTACATAATGCAAACTGGGATTTCTATTAGTTCTCTGCACCCAGCGAAGAAAGCAGCAACCACGTGCTTAAAAGGAACACGCTACAAAGCCCGGCGGGACGAGACCGCTGCCGTCCTGAAGCGATGGGACACAGGTGAACCCAGAGCCGTTGTGCTCTGGAAGGGCGCCAGAAAAGAGGAGAAGCAGAGTGGCAAACCGTTTTTCTTCGGTCCCCTCCAGATCACAGCATCATCGGGGCTGCTGAGCAGGAAGCCTACGGACATCACGCCCAGGTTTTCGTCCACGTACTGGAGAGGGAACGGGAGGGGTGCGTCACGCGTCACTCAAAACCACACAGCGAGGCACTTCCCTACGTCTTTTGCCTGAGCTCGGGCCGAGAAACCATTTCGGGACAAGATTACCATATGACCTCCGAATACATTCATTCTTTGCATCCTCAAATCATTTTTTTTTTTTTAAAAAAGGTACCATTATTAGGGGGATCTGAAAGACGTGCTGTGTGGCCATGTGCTGCAGTGACAGTAAACTTAGCTGAAATAAATAAAAGTCATTTCCTCAACTGTCTGAACCAGGGGCTGGCAAACTGCGGCCCCAGGGGACAAGTCTGGCCCACTGTCTGTTTTTGCAAATAAAGTTTTATTAGAACACAGTTGTGGTCATTCAGTTACACATGACTACTTTTGAGCTATGAGTTGAAAATATTGACTGTCTCACCCTTTTCAGAAAAAGTCTGGCAACCCCTGTGCCTTGACGAGTGCCTCAGTAAATATTTGTGAGGTGACAAACAGGTGGGCTGAGAAAAATGCTGCCAACCCACCACAAATCCATTATGCACACACGACCCACGCACACTACCTCGAGAATATGGCAAAGAGGTGAAAACTCACCACGGGGGACCAGCCCGAGCCACTCTGGTGAACCTGTGAGGACGAGAGCATCGATACCGTTTGTAGACGTCACGCACCCCGGACACACCGGATGCACACACTGGACGAAGTGGGAAGATGGTCTTATAAAATACGACTCAAGGTCTTACGCGGCAACGCTGTGTGAACAGCTGGGGTGTGGGTGATGGAAGATCCGATGCCATCCCCTTTGCTCCCCAAGCTGGGGGATTTTGAAACTCTGCCTGCATATCTAGTCAGGGAACCAAAGTCACCTTAGTGCAAATAAAACTTTGGGTCTGAGGCATTTTAAAAGAGTGACAGGAATCGGTTGGGGGTTATCGAGAACACGCAGGTGACTGTGGAGCTACGAGGTTGCTTTTGTAGGAGCCGGGAGTAAAGGAGTCGCCTTTGGTGAGACAGCCGACTCGGAGCCTGGCCTGTCGGTGGCCTGAGCTTCAGCTCCGCCGCTGGCCCAAGGGGCATGGGGCGCTCCCTGCGGCCATGTGAAGACACAGACCCTCCCTCCGGGTGTCCATCAGCATCCCGGGCCCAGCTCTGCACCCCCTCTTTATTATGAAACTAGGACCCCAACAACTTGCAGTTACACCTCAGCCTCAGCAATGACACTTCTTTGAGCAACATATGGGAGCTAAAGTTGAAAGTATTTTTCTCGACGAACTTACTTTTCTCAACAGCTTTACTGAGACAGACTGGCGCGTAGACCTTACAATCCCCCCACTGAAGGTGTACAACTCAGTGGCTTTCTGCATAGTCACGGAGGTGTGCAGCCACCACCAGTCATTTTAGTACACTGCTAAGGCTCCAGGAGGAGACGCTGCATCCTGAGCCAGCACCCACCCAGCCTCAGGTGACCCCTAGCCACTCTCTGTCGCTGGGGATTTGCCCACTCTGCTCATTGCACACGAGGGGAATCACACAACATGTGGCCCTTTGTGACTCTGAAGTTCTACTTCTAAAAAAACAAATGAACTATCCACTCCTAGTTATACTTGTCTGCTAAGTCCACTCGTCTTAAAGAGGGGTAAACATGATGTTCCAACAGTACAGGAGACAAAAATAGTGGAACTTTCATTTTATCTTGTCATCTAAAATTTTCTTCTTCTATAAAACACTTGTGTATGATCAAACGAAGGGACTTACACCCATGTTGGGGGCGTGCGTAACCAAACGTGTTACTGATGGGGTATGCGATCGAACGTGTGGACCCCACAGCTCTGTCTCAACTGTGGGGGACGCCACACTCCTTCCCTGCTCCCTCACAAGCAAAGCCCAAGGCCTCAGCAGTGCCAGCAAGGCCTGGCCCCATCTGCCTTAGGCTACCCTCCAGCACCACTGGCCACTTCACCAAGGACAGAAGGACACCCGCGTCAGGCCTTGGCACTTGCCCCCTCAGCCCAGAATGTTCTTCTCTGGCTCTCTGCACAGCGGGCCCTTCCTCTATAGCAGCCCCCCTGCCCTGGCGCACCGGGCCCAGCCCACCTGTCCCCTACTCTGGGTCAGTTTTACATTATCCATCATCTGCCCTCTGCCACAAGGGCAGGGGGCTTCCCTGGCCCGGTCCACCACTGCATCCCCAGAACGGGCCGACACTAGTTAAAGAATAAGCCAGTCTTGAAGCCGCTGGACACTCTATTCCCCAGCCCCGCTTCCATGCACTGCCCTGGGGGAACCCTTTCCCCGCAGGGAGGGGCCAGTGACTGCACACACTGCTGCAGCCCTGCCCCCAGCCCACGTCACTCACCCACCCTGCAGTCTCAGTTCCCCAGGGGAGACCACAAGGGCAGAAATATTCCTGTTTCCAGGGTAGAGACCTATCGCAAACCCTGGTGTAGTGTTCCCAGCCAGAGCTCAGTTTCCGCGTCTTACTTCTGCATTTCACTTGCTGTTTCCCTTCCCCTCTACAAAGGCATCGAAACCAGCCTCTCAAATGGTATGGACGGGCTTCATATATAATCCCGCCCCCCAAAATCCACAGCTGCTGTAGTCAGATGGACTCTTGACCGTTTATCTGGGCTCGTCAAGCCCACATAAAAATTTACGGGCTCTGCTTAGCTCTTTGTTTAGGGTTAACAGCTCAGTGCTGTTCAGTGTGCCTTGAGAGAATGATTTCCTGGGCGTTGTGACCCAGCTATTACCTGTTCGCCTTCCAATCCCATTATCTTGGGAATTGACGGTCCACAGATGTCGATGTCTAGGAGAGCAACCTGGGGACGAGAAGGGACCAGAGCAGTTCTCAGTGGATGCACAGACTCCAGAGACGCACGGCGGGGAGCGGAACGGGGTTAGAGGAGCAGGGCGGGGGAGAAGACAGACAGAAACTAGGTCAGACCTAGAGCAACTGGACCCTCATGGAGTACAGTAATAAATGATCTCAAAGTCCATCAACAATGATGCTCTTCTGAATCTGGCCAAGGCCATCTTGTGTGACCTTATGGGCCTGGGTGTCAGGTCCCTTGGAGTCTCAGGTTCAGGCACTGCTTACTCAGCCCTTACCATGTGCCTAAGAGCCCACCTCATTATCTCCACTTTACAGAAGAGGAAACTGAAGTTCAGAGAGGGCCAGTGACTTGTTCAATGAAGGAGCAGAGCTGGGAAGTAAATGAAGGTCCTCCTACTTCAACACCAGCTCTTTCCATGAGGAGGACCAGAGCGGAATGTCTGGCTGAGCCCTGACCAAGCCCTGTTTTCCTGTGGTCCTCAAGGTTAGCGATGGCTCAGGGTAAACTTTCCAAATAGAAGCTCAAGAAGGAAACCCAGAAAAGCTCTTTGCTGGTGACTTAGGAGTAGCCTCAGATGATTCCTTCCACCCCCAAACACCCAGCTTTCCCCCTCTGATGGAGGTCTGGGGTGGCCCTCCGGAACCTTCTGAAAAACAGGGCATGTGTTCATCCTGAAAGCTGTGATGTCTCAGATCCAAAGTGCAGCACCTCCGAGCAACTTTTCAACTTGACCCAAATTCATTTCTTGCTTCCCTCTTCAATCCTCTCAACAAACCCAACCTCCCACTTCCTCGGCACCATCTCCAACCTGCGGGAGATGGTTGCAACTACTACCGCGTAAATAAATACAGCTTGTCTAGCCGCGTTTCCACAGAGCGGTGTGCTTTCCTTCCAAATACCGCAAAGTCCAGGCACGTGTACAGCAAGGACTTCAGAACATAATCACATGAAAGCGAATGATGTAAACAGTTGTCTACTCACAAGTGGTTACCTGCAGCTGTCTGGGTTCAAGCCTATCTCCAGAGCTGCTTAAGAATATTCCTGGGCTGGGCGCGGTGGCTCACGCCTGTAATCCTAGCACTCTGGGAGGCCGAGGAGGGAGGATTGCTTGAGCTCAGGAGTCCGAGACCAGCCTGAGCAAGAGCAAGACCCCGTCTCTACCAAAAATGGAAAAAATTAGCCGGGCATGGTGGCAATGCCTGTAGTCCCACGCTACTCAAGAGATGGAGGCAGGAAGGTCCGTCTTTGAGGTTGCCACGAGCTAGGCTGATGCCACGGCACTGTAGCCCAGGCAAGAGAGAATTCTGTCTCAAAAAAAAGAATATTCCTGACAACTTCCAAAAGCAAAGATCATTCTGGATCATATGGACAATCTAACAGGACAGATGCCACGGCCAGGCCACAAGCCAATACAAATTTGACCCTCAAATGGCCAGAGACTGTTGACTAACAGAACAATGAATTAACAAGTCTATTTTGAACTTGCTTGGCACTGTGCTTTGGGTAGGTGACAAACTCAACTCCAAAGTAGACACCATCATCATCCCTTTGTGGTCCATTTCGTAGAATAAAGTATTAATAAGAATAATGGCTAGGCGCGGTGGCCTCCATGCCCTGTAATCCTAGCACTCTGGGGGCGAGGGGGGAGGAGATACTCAAAGGCTCAGGGTTACCAACACAGCCCTGAGGGCAAGAGCGAGACCCCGTCCCTTTAAAATAGAATTATTGGCCAACTAAAAATATATAGAAAAAATTAGCCGGCATGGTGGTGCATGCTGTAGTACCAGCATCTCAGGAGGCTGAGGCAGGAGGATCACCTGAGGCCCAGGAGTTTGAGGTTGCTGTGAGCTAGGCTGACACCACGGCACTCTAGCCTGGGCAACAGAGTGAGACTGTCTCAAAAAAAAAAAAAAAAAAAGAATAATGATTGCTGTCATGGATGTTTACTGAGCATGTACTTAGCTAAGTGCTTCACATGCATGGTCCCACCTAGTCCTCTGCATCCGATTTTACAGATGAGAAAACTGAGGCAGAGCGAGCTTGGTAACCTGCCCATGGTCACAGCAGTGGTGGTGTGGATGGAGCTGGGACATGAACCTGGGCTGTCTGGTCCAGAGCCTGTGTTCTTAGCTGCCCACTACACTTTTTATTAAAGATGAGATCTAGAGAGCAACACTGGGTCATTTGAAGTTCATGTTTATCTGTGTCCTTGGGGTGGAAACGAATGGCCAGTGTAAGGGTCAGCAAACATTTTTATCAAATGTAAGTGCCAAATATTAAATATTTTAGGCTCTGTGGGCAAAATCAAGGATAATATGTACATGCTTATGTAACAATTTAAAAGTCACCATTTAAAAATGTGCAGACCATTCTTAGGTCCCAGACCACAAAAAGACAGCAGATGGGCTGGATTTGGGGCCCTGGCTATAGTCTGCAGGCCCTAAGCTTAGAGAAACGCAGAACGGGATTAATAAAGAGAAAAAAGTCACCTGAACTCAACGTAACAAATTATCAGCATGCAGGGAGACACATACACCTGCCATCCATTTTCTTGGCTGGAGAAGCCAAGGAAACGCTTCTCTGACTGCTAGGCAGTTCTTCACTCTCTGCAAGGATGGAGATTCCAAAGAGGCCAATTCAGCTCCGTCTAAGGAATCAATTCTCTAAAGCTATGGTGCACCTCAGACAGAAGGAGCATCCCCGCTTTCCCCCCCGTCCCACCTGCGTGTTTTCATCCTCTGCCAGGCCGTGGGCCAGGTGGGCGCTGAATGTGCTTTTCCCGACTCCACCTTTCCCAGACAACACCAAGATCTTGTGTTTCACGGTCTTCATTTTCTCTTTGATTTCCTCTATGGCTGCAAAGAAAGCCAAAGTTCAGGTGATCAAATCCCTGACCAAACTGTGAACGTCACCCTTCTGAGGGGCTAGAGGGCGCTAAATCCTTGGGGCAGTTTCAGAGGATCCTTGAAATAAATGCCTCTTAGGCAATGGCAGTAATAAGTGCTAAGAAGAAAATAAGGCTGTTATCACACCTGAAATACTCTTATTTATAGGTTCACACATTTGTCTCCACCACCAGAACTAAGCTCCACAGGGGAGGGGTATTCCCAGCTCCAGAAGAGAACTTTGCATATAGTAGTGGCTCTCAACCTGGTGGCAAAATCCCCCAGGGACACCTGTCAACTGTCAATGTCTGTAGACATTTTTGGTTGTCGCAGGAAGGAGTGTTACTGGCATCTAGTGGGTAGAGCCCAGAAATGCTGCTACACATCCTACATTGCAAGGACAGCCCTTAACAAGGGAGTGATGAGACCCCACATGTCAGTAATGCTGAGACTGAGAAACCTTGTCAAATAGCAGGCATGTAATAAGTATCTGTCGATTAAAACTCTCATCTATTATACATAGACTGTGCTTTCAATACTTCATCTTATTGCAAATCCTTAAAACAACACTGCACAGGTGTAAAAGAAAATAGAAAGTCTCAGGCCTGCCCAAACTCATTATGCCAAAGGGGAAGGTAAGCCTGGATGCAACATTGTTCTTTTTTTCCAATTAGATAGCCATTACTTTGCAACTTTGTGTCAAAGAGTTACACATTTGCCAGAGCCCTGCAAGAAGCTTCACAAATTGCTAATAAGTAAATTCTTTGCTTGCCCCTAACATTTCAAGATGTATTTCCTTCAATAAACAAGGATATCTCAACTGTAAACTTTAAGTCTGTAACCTCAGCCTAACTCCTTGTTCAGGCAACGTAGGTCTGTTAAATTTCACACTGACAATGTCGATTACAAAGCTTATCAGGATGAGATCAATCATCCCTCTCCTCCTGTGACATCTGCATAATTAATTCTTCCTTTACTCCTTTTTTTGAATGTTTATCTTATGTGTTGCATAGATTTACTGGGCGCTAATTAAAATCTCAGAGAACCATTTGCCTGACCACCTTACTCTCCTCCACCCCCATGCTTTCCCTCCTTTTAAAGAAACATATAAATATTGAGCCTCCCGAAATCTCTCCAGAGAGCACAGGCCCTGTGACTTGTGTTTCCCCAGTGCACCCTCAACCTCTGGCACAGTAACCCTGACTGACTGAGATTCTTGCCCCAGTCTCTCATTTGGGTTGACAGAGGTAACTATTTGAAGAACTATTATTGACAGAGGTAACTATTTGAAGAACTATTATTGACAGAGGTAACTATTTGAAGAAAAACGAACAGCTCAGAGAGGTCAAGATGACTGCTCAAGATTACACTGTTTGCAGTAAACCCAAGCGCCAAGCCCAAGTCTCTCTGAACCCCTTAAAGATGTTTCCGCCAGCCCCCTGCTTTTCAAGATCCTTCCAAGTAGGTCCTCAGAGTCCTTCTGTTAGGGCCTGGGGACCATAGGTAGCAAATAACCCGCCATTAGCTTTTGTATTATGCTTGCTTAGGAAAGTGGAAAATTTTCAGTTGACCCTTATATGACTCTGCACCTGCCATCTTGCCTCTGCTAGTGTAATTAAGTTTAAAAACTAAGGAGAAGGGCGATGGTGCATGGCACAACTGCCCGCAAGTCCAGGGTCAAAACGCCCTGGACCCCTGAGGCGGCTGACATGCTTCATGTACCTAGTGAAATGCTCCCAGGCTCAGATCACAGGATGCAGGATGTATTTCAACTAAGATTAATGTTGTCCGTAATTGAGATAATTCAGAGGCTTCCTCTTGGCTGAATCTTAGCTACAGCCGGTGACTTTTACAAAACCCATCTCAAGGCTCCAAACCGCACCCCCCATTGTGCTAAAACAAGATAAGAGACGTAAGATTAATGTTTTCTCTCACTTCTGTAAAAGTGCTTCCTGATTAGATTTTGAGAGTGTGTTTTTTTGCCTTTAAAAAGGGGCTCTTTTTCCTAGTTCATCGCGACTTTTCTGTGCCTGTCACTCTGCAGGACAGGAGTAGTCCTGGCCAGTAAATAAAGACTCACAATTTGGCCCAGTTTGGTTTCTAAGGTGGTCTTTTCTCGCACTTCGGACCATAACACTTCCTGCCCTTGAATGTGTCTCGTTTCTGTCCCCTACTCAATCAGCTCCGCCAGGGCAGTGACCTCCTCTCTGTCACAGCTGTGGGGGCCTACGAGGGCATTAACACAGATTTCTCTTGAAGGAGGCGGAGAATCGCTCCTCAAAAGGAAGAAAATTTTGTCCAAGGTAGCAGGCAGAGCCAGGATTTAAACCCAAGGGTAAGCCCGCGGGCTCGGTGACGTCAAAGCTTATCCCCTGTTCCCTCTGCGGTCCGCCTCTCCAGGCGGCTGCCTGTTACTGTCATTCAAACCTCTGGCCCCGCCCATCACCCTGGCAGCCTTTTCTCCACACCCCGCGGTCTCCTCTCTTAAGGTCCGTTGGACACGGCGCCGCTCACTGATGCTACAGTCTCCGCCCTCCATCCCTGTCCCGGTCCTTCCCGCTCTCCAGGGCTTTTATAGGCCCCGCCCCTGTCACTCGGAGCTCAAGCCCCGCCTTCACCTGCCCACTTTGCCACGCCACGCCTTCTCCAGGCCCCGCCCCTCTTGGTATACCGTCCCTCCTAGCCCGCCCTGTCACTCATCCTTCACGTTGCGTCCCCTTTCTCCCCCCCCATGCCCCGCCCCTTCCGGGCCTGCGCCTTTCACTTCCCGTTCAGGCCTTGCCCTTTCCTCACCCGGGTCCGGAGTGGCGCCCGCTCCAGAAGCACACAGCCGCTGGTTGGGGCATCCCTGACATGAGGCCCCTCGGCCCGCCTGGGCGCTGTCGGCCCCGGGACAGTCTGCGCAGAGACAAGAGTACAGTTAGAGCAGCTCGAGTGCCTTCAGCCCCGCCACCCACGCCCCCTCCGCGAGCTCACCGTGAGGCACCTCCTCCATAACGCCGCCTGTGCCGCCGACGCGGTAGCCGGAACCCGCCGCCGTGCATTTCCGCCTCGCGGGCGCGACCTGCCTCTCCAGCCGCGCCAAATAAGTCTCGCGAATAGAGGGCTGTGCGCACGCGCGAACCGTCCCCTGCTGGGCGGGACTGATTTCAGTTGCCTTTAAAGCCCAGCTGCAGATACCTACCTTAAATACTTCAGCACGTGTCGGTCCTAAGGACGGAACGTTCATTCTCCATGACCTCACTACCGTTTTCATATCCAAGATATTTAATAATGATGCAATACTATTAACTAATAGTTTATATTCAAATTTCCTAACTGATCCCAAGTAAGACCCACCCCTCCAAATCTTGGATCCAGTCTAGGGTCGCTCGCTGAGCTGTTGTTATGTCTGTTCAGTCTCCTTTAATTCAGACCTGTCCCTCTGTCCTTTTATGGGAGGTCTTTAATCACAGTGGTAACTTTGACGAGTCCAGACCAGTGACTTACAGAATATCCCATAATCTTGGGTCATCCGATCCTCCCTCAACCCCATGATTAGATTCAGGTGAAGTTTTTTTGGCAGAGCACGCTTGGATGATGTATACTTGCCATTGTACCTCATCAGGAGATTTGTCGGTTTGTCCCCATTACTGGTGGTGTGAAAGCTTGGTCACTTGGTAAAGGTGGTGTCTGCCCCATTTCTCTAGCGTATGCTGCCCTCTTCCATTGGTGATTAGTAAGTGCTACCTGGGGTGATCTGTTGAGATCGTGTGAATATCCTCTTCTCTGTCAACCTTTCACTCAGTGGTTTTAGCATCATTGCCTGAATCGGGTATATTGGTATTTGCAAAGTTGTGATGTTTTTCGACTCCGTCTATTAGCTCTACATTTATTAACAGGCATACTCTGTAAAGAAGAACTTTCTTTCCTTTCCCTGCTGCCCCTGTTTTTATGAGACTCACTATGGACTCCTGGATTCTTTTAATTCTATGTTTTATAATCATTATTTTTTTTCTGGTCAATTTTACCCCAGATTTGGCCAGTGAAGCCTCTTCAAGCCAGCTCCTGTGTTCTTTGAACACTAATCCAACTTCTCTGAGTATTTTCTTGGTTTCTGACACAGATATTTCAGGCTTCTTTTCTACTTCCTGCTGCAGCCATTTCTCTAGTGAGCCCTTGTTGCTTTTCGCAGAGATTAGTGTTGAGAAAGCAAGATATGGATGCTAAATGTGCTCATTGTTACTGGAGTATCATTGCTTACAGGTTTGGCACAGATTTTAATTCGTGAAGAAAGTTTACCTGGCTGTAGGCATTAGGGATATAGAAACTCGTTTATTAAACAGCAATGTATTGGTTGCCTGTGGCCACCGCTATGTTGAACACTCGCTATTTGACGGTGTCTTACATGAATTACCTAATTTGTACCCTTCAACAGTTCTATCCTCTGCATCCTACTATCTTCATTTTTGGATGAGGAAGCTGAAGTTTAAAATAGTTAAACTACTTTCTTAAGGTCAGATAACTAGTAGTAGGGGACCCAGGTGGCGTCTGGCTCCAGGGCCTGCACTCTTCCTCGGGAACACACAGTGCTGAGCAGCACTGGGTCAGGTGCTACTGATTCCAGGCTGATCCGGCCCCAGCCATCCTGGAGCCCAGTTTGATTGTGGCCGCAGATAATTAAACCTGTAATTACAGTGTGATAAATGCTATGACAGAATAGGACCAGGGTGATGGTGCAGGGAAAAAAAATTCCTGGAGGAAGAAGCGACAAGGGCTAAGTCAGAGCCTGAAGGCTGAGCAGGAGACACACAGAATGAGGCGGGGTGGGGCTGGGGATGGGGTGGGGCGGTGATGTGGCAGGTAGTGTTTTAAGGTGAACAAACAGGATCAGCAAAGGCCTGGAGGGTGGAAAGGGATTTACCTATCAGGCAGGCACTGTTGTCATTTCATGGTGACATCTCCCACAGTTTCCAAACCATAAGTCTTACCATCCATTCCCCACACAAATCAGATCAAGTCACTCTGCTACTCATGAACCTTCAATAGCTCCCTATGGCCCCAAGATAAGGCCCAATTTTCACATGGAGTTCAGCGGCCTCTGTGGCTCTTCTGCCAGGAATGGCCATCCCCCGGCCCTCGCCTGTCCAGCCACTACCTGGTCCTCTGGGACCTGCCAAGTCTCATTAGTATCTCCTGTGGAAGCCATTTCTGGCCTGTGGAACTGGCTGCTTTCTCCTTTTCTGAATATGGTGCATTCCAAGAGTCTGAGCACAGTTTTCTGTTCTTGACAACTTCCAAAGTATGAATGCTATAAAGTTAACAAAAATTAGCATTTGAAATTTTATGTCAATTTCCTTTGTACTTACGTAGTTCCGTGAGTTTGAAAGAACAGATTTTAAATTTAAATTTTTTAATTTCCATCCTTCTGATCGAAGATGGCTAATGATGACTAAGACAAAATTAAAGTTAAAACTTTGTTGTTTTAAATTTACAAAACTAACTGCCAACGATTTAAATAATTAAATTTAAAAATAAGTTTGCAAAGCGACAGAGATGGGAGGAGGAGAAGGGGTTGCCGGGAGTTCGGTGGGGAGGGGTGAATGGGGCGCAGGGGATGTTTAGGGCAGTGACACTGCTCTGTGTGACACTGCAGTGGTGGGTACATGTCACTAAGTATTTGCCAGGCCCCACAGAACATACAACGCCGAGACTGAACCCTAACGTAAACTATAGGCTTTAGGTAATAATGCATCAGTACTGGTTCATCGAATGTGCCCAATTTACCACACTAATACGAGATGTGGATAAGGAGGGAAACTGAGGCAGGGAAAGGGAGTATATGGGAATTCTCTGAACTTTCTGCTTAAAATTTCTGTTCACCTAAAACTTCTCAAAAAGCAAAATCTATTATTTTTTTAAAAGTGTGTTTAGGCTTCAAGCTGAAATCTGCACTTTGACTGTGGGACACCTGTGTGTGCGTCCCACAGCCAGGCTGCCCAGCCGAGCAGCACAGCACCATCGCCTGGGGCCTCACACCAGCTATAGCAGGATCTTGGAGGTGGGGTCGGGCATGCTTTTGAAACTCTTTAAGGGTTTTAGTGATGGCACCGTGGACCTCCACGGCGAGGAGGGTGAGGGCAGTTACACGGGTTTGCAGCTCGTGCTCTGAAGTCAGCCACACGTGCAAATCCTGACTCCAGCCCTTACAAGCTGAATAACGTTGGGCAAGTCACTGTATGTCTCTGAGCCTCAGTTTGTTCCTCTGCAAAATAAGGATAATAAAGGCGATTTCCCCAAGAGGTCACTGTGGGGTAAAGCAATTTAATGCACGTCAGGCACGGGGAGAGCCACAACCCTATCAACATTAGCGTTTGAGTAAAGTTAGGGTTGTAGATTGTGCATACTTACTTACAGATGGGGGAACTGAGGCCTAGACAGGGAAAGGTGCCCCAGATCACACAGTAGATTAGTGAACGAAGCAAGACTAAAACCTGGGTCAAACTAGTTTAAAAGTTTCAGCAGAACGGGGACACTTTAAACGTTTCAGCAGGTGAGCGAGCACGCTTTGAAAACACGACCCTTGGAAATGCAGAGGAGCTGCCTGCAGTTCCTCCATTGTGCCACGAGGTGGAGATCTTCCCCCGTCTATGATCAAGGTAATCAAAAAATTGGAAACAAGTTTGGGAGAATTTTCTGCCTCTTCCCTTGGCTCCAGCAAAAGTAGCTAACAAGGGGTTAGATACACAGCAGACACGTATCATATAATTGAGTCAAAATATAAGGTTCAGATGCATTATATATACTGAACACGGAAAGAACGTGGATTCCTGGATGCCAGATGTCTGCAGTCACCTCTCAGCTCCCCATTTACCGGCTTTCACTCATGCCTCAGTTTCCTTCTCTGTTAAGATGCCAATAATAACATTAACTACTTCAGAGGGTTATTGTTGGGGGAATTAAACAAGTTAATGCAAGTAAAAACAGCTTTTTAAAAGTGCCTGGCACTTATATGCCTATATAGGCATATAAGTCCTATATAGGGGTTAGCAATTATCACTTTGTTTCTGAAACTGTTCTGTTGAGGTATGCCTGCTATGCAGTAAACTGTACCTATTGGAAGTGTGCAATTGGTAAGTTTTGACCTATGTATATATACCCAAAAGTTTCCTCATGGTCCTGCTCTCAGGCAACCACTAATCCCTGTTCTGTCACTATAAATTGGTTTGACTTTTCTAGAATTTTATGTAAATAAAATCATAGAGTACACCCTCTTCTTAAATCTGGCTTTTTTCACTCAGCATATTTATTTTAGTTTCATACACTGGGGCACATATGAAGTCCATGTCTTCTGGTTGGTGTTGTAATATTTCACTGTATGAGTATAGCACAATTTATTAACCCATTCATCTGTTGATGGACATTGGGATTATTTCCAGTTTGGGGATGTTACAAA